TTCCCTTTAAAACCTGCTCCTCTACCTAATTTTTATTTTTTTGGTTACCATAGTCTTCCAATTTATCTATGCTTAAAACCTTGAAGTCATTTGTCTCTTCTCTCTGTCTTCTGCCTCATATCCAATTAGTTTCCAAGTTCTGTAGGTTCCACCTCCACATTGTCTCTTTAATCTGTCCCTTTCTTTCTTCTCCCCTCCTTATTCATCTTTGCTACTAGACAATTGCAATAATCTCCTAATCAGTTTAACTGCCATCTTTTTAAAAACAGATTCTAAAATTTCAGCCCTTCCAATATCTCTCCCACACACCATGCTACATTAATAATTCTGATTAAAAAAAAAAAAGGCAGGTCATGTCATCCTGCTGATTACGGACTCTTAGGTTTCCTCATTATCTGTTGTATAAAATCTAAACTGTTCAGCCTGACAATCAAGGTTTTCCACAGTCTGACCTCAGTCCACCTCATGCTTTTTGAATGCCTTACATCATCAAGTTTATGTACTCTCTCCTTTTCTATTAACATACTCCTTAGCTTTTCTGACTCTGTTTTTGGCTCAGAACTTGTTCCAGTGTGAGAGGTATCAGATAGCTTTTTTTTTCCAGTGATTATAGCTTTTTGTTGAGTACTGTACAGTGGGGAAGTTGGAGGAGGGCTATGAGTAAAAGTGAAAGCAGATGGGGTGAACAGGGGGCCTACCTGTCAGAAGCATATAGGAGATGGAGAACAGGGAAGGATTTTCTGGAGGACCTGGATGGTCACTTTCAAAGGAGTCAGCTGGACTGGTCAGGGTGAGGCATTGCATTAAGGTCTCATGGTGCCTCTCTTTATCTTAGGCAGGAAGGCAGGGTTGGGACCTAACTAAAGACTCTTGATGTGAACTAAAAGAAGCTAGAGAATTTTGGTGGAAGTAATTTTTTTTTGCCTAGTCATGTCTTGGGTAGGCTTAGGTCAATGGTTTACTCCCCGGGGCAGCTTTAACTAGGAGTAGGAAGTAAACTGGAAATAGGAAAGTTCATTGTGACCACTATCCAAGGATTTCTTCTATCTTTGTTTTAAGGAATCTGTCCCTTATCTCATGTTCAGTGAGGCCTCTACCCAGCACGATGAGGAAGTGAAGGATGACAGAGATACAAATATAGCTATATTGGGAGAAAATAGAGAGATATAGGTGTTCTTGGACACTGACAGAGAATTAAAAAAGGTAGTGGAGGAGGCCTTGAACATCTTGCCTTTCCTTCGGGTCCATAGTGACTCTGGCTTTAGGGAGGGAATATCCTGATCCCACTCCTCCATCCCTAGGCACTGAAAGGTGTGTTTAAAGTACATCTAGTCCCCAGGTTTTCTGAATATAGCTGCGGAAACATTTCACTGGACTGAGAGTACCTCCCTTAGGAATGCCATAAACTCAGGGAAAGACTTTGAGGTTTTTCTCTCAAATTCAGGGATCCTGAAAAGGAGGGAGGTTCCACGCATTATTTGTCCCAGGCCAGACAGAAGAGGAGGCACTGGCTAAAGTTGGAAGTGTCCAGTCTTGGTAGTTGGTCCTGCCAATGCCACAGTGCCCCATGTTATTCAGGGTACCCACTTCCTAGAAGGACCGAGTTGGGAGACGGGTCAGATCAGCCTTCTCTGGTTGTGTGGAGGGGAGAGGGTATAAGTCAGGGGTGGGGAACCTTGGGCCTCAAGTCACATGTGGCCCTTTGACTGAATCCAGCCTTCACAGAACAAATCCCCTCAATAAAAGGATTTGTTCTGTAAAACTTGGACTTAGTCAAAAGGCTGCACCCAAGGACCTAGAAGCCACATGTGGCCTCAAGGCCAGATTCCCCAGCCCTGGTGTAAGTAGATCCAACTGGTCAAGTTAAGGCTCTTTGCTACTGTTTCTAAAAGCCTGATGTAAAATGTTATAGAGATCTTCCCCCATGATCATAAAAGAGGGGAAGAGGGTAGTTAAGAGAAGCACAGGGATGGGCCTTCTGAGTGGGGGATGGGTTGGCACAGTGCCTAAGGCAAGCAGTCCAGCAGGACGTGCCTTCCTGAACCCTGCATCTACAAACAGTTACTTTGCATAATGGTAGACCCACTGTACTGTGCAGATTTTTCTGAGCAGGGTCTGTTTCTCCTTAAAGATGGTCCCACTCTAGGATTAGGTAGTCAAGACAGCAGCGGTAGGGTGTTCTATTTTCCAGGCCATAAAGACCAAATAGAAAATGGGAAAGGTGATGATATTTTAATTGCTGCACTTGCTGCCAGCTCAGTTGTGCTCACCAGGGTGGTTGGCTGGGGTTTCTGAACTGGGCAGAGTTGGAGGGTGAGGAGGTAGCCCTAGATTCTAGCCAATTGCTCCACCTTTGCTCAGTTGAAACCCCGAGGTTAAATAGGTATAACAATGAGTCCACTCCCTTCTCATCTGGGCCTAGATCTGACCTGTAAAACTAGTAAAATTCTGGTTCTGGTGGGCTGCTAACTCCGGGTAACCATTCAGTGAGTAACCTCTGGGTCTCCATCCTTATAGTGAGCTGCCTCATCCTCTGCTTGCCCCATTCATGTTGGAAGAGATCCTTCCCCTCTCCTGAATGTCCAGCCTTGGTTCTGAGTGGGGTATTATTGCTCAGATGTGGATTGCTTGGGAAGTGTAGGCTGTCTTTGCTGTGTTGATATATGGCACCAGCTAGTAAGGTCCATACTTGTGTCCTGTCCTTAAGCATGTATATAGTCCCTTGAGGGTTTCTTGGTGGGCCTGGAGGGAAGTATTTGGGGCGTTCTTGAAGAGGTGCATAGCAACCTTATACCAAGGGCGTAATGGGGTTTTTATCCCTCAGGTCTGGAGTCAAGGCAGTAATAGCAGCAGCGAGCATGCCCGTATCTGTGCAGCACTTAGCCAAACTAAGGCAAGTATGTGTTCTGCTGCAGGGGAGCATTGCCTGCGGCAGATCTTCATGTGATCTTGAGGATGGTGAAGGGGCTATGGCAGTGACTAGTGGGGATAAACCAATGGAGTCCTAGACTCATGATGACTGTGATAAGAAAACAGATTCTTCCCAGGAGAGGAATGGCTCTCTTGGGCCAACCTCAGGCACTCCTAGGCAGGCATATGGTCTAGGCACAGGCCTCCCGTGACAATATACCACCACCTCATTTAACTTCACGTAGTAAACAACAATAGAATAGAAAAGTACAAGCAAGGTCCAAACTCCTCCAGCATGGTGTGGTACCTTCCCAGTGTACTATGTACTAGGCCTCCTCTGGAAGCTCTTCCAGAAGCCACTAAAGAAGCCTCTCATGTTTTCTGCTGGCACCACACCCTATCTTGTCTTCTGCTTAGGACTTGAATGAGAGAGACACAAGATTAGAACAACTAGATGGAGGAAGCAGGGGCCTTACCTGTCAGAGGCACAGAGGAAGTAGAAGTGAGGAGAGGATATTCTGGAGGACTCAGATGGTTGCTCACAAGGGTCAGCTGATTTGTGATGGGTGAAGCCTTGCACAAAAATCTAGGGAATCTCTCTTCATGCTAGGTAGGCAGATGGGTTTTTATAGACCTCATTGGTACTTCTTGGTGTAAACTAAGAGAAGCCTGTGAATTTTGGCTATGGGAACTTTGGTGCCTGGTCATGATTCTAGTAGGCTTGGATTAAAATGTGTTTTGTTTTGTTTGGCCATTTCTATGGGAGAGAGAGGTGTCCCAGAGGCATAGTGGACTGTTGGGCCACTGGGACCAATCTATATGGATTTCTTCCATCTTCATCTTAAGGCAAACTGCCCTTTTTCCATGCTGTTTTCTAAGATTAGAGTACTCAAAGCTCCCAACCTATCCTGATTTCTAATTATTGAAATCCTACCTGTTCTTCAAGATCCAATTTAAATACCATTTGTTTCAAGAAAGCTTCCTTGTATCGATAATAGGATTTATTCATACCACCTGTAGCATAGTTATTTAGATATATCTTATCTTTCCTACCAGACTGTAATCACCATAAAAGAAAGAACCATACCTTATTCGTCCTTGCATCTCTTCTAGTATCTTTTCACCTCATAGGGCCCTTAATAAATATTTGTTAAGTTTTTGAACAAGTGAGGAGTAGCACAAACATTTAAAACAAATTAAAACTTAAGTTTAAGGAGCCAGTCAATTATTATTCATTTATTAAGTGGCTAAAATATGCCAGGCACTGTGCTGAGGACTGATGATACAAAGACAAAAATGAAACAGTCTCAGATCTCTGGGAGCTTACATTCTACAAGTAATAATAGTAATAAAAATAATAATATTTAGCATTTATATAGCAGTTCCAGGAACTGTGCTGAGTGCTTTGCAATTATTATCTCATTTGATCCTACAACAACCTTGGGAGAGAGGTGCTATTATTATCTCCATTTTACACTTGAGGAAACTGAGAGAAACAGAGATTAAGCAACTTGCTCAGGGTCACACAGCTGGTAAGTGTCTGAGGCCTAATTTGAACTCAGGTCTTCCTGACTCTGGGCCCAGCACTCTATGCCACCTACCTGCCATAACAGCAATATTGTGTGTTTGTATGGTGACTCAATAATTGATAATAGATATTTCTGGATGTATTGTTGATAATGCATTAAACTTACATTACACTTAAGGTTTTGCTGTGTGTAATATGTCTGTGTGTGTGTGTTTCAAAGAAAAAAGAGCTTTCATCTCTTTCCTAATTTTGAGCAAAAGAATAAGGAATATTAAAATTGTAATACTTGTTTTAATATATAAAGAATAATCAGAAAACATAATTTGTGGTTATCCTTTATTAATTCTCTCTTTTCCACCCAACTTTTTTTTTTTCTAGCCATAAATCTGTACTTACCTGGTATGGAAGTAGAGTCTTCTTTGTTAATTCAGAATCCATATTAATTCTTGTCTGTACGACTGTCTTGATTTTGCTTTTAAATTTTGGTTTGTTCATTGACCTGCATAATTTGCCTAGCTTCCCAGATTTCTTATGGAGCATTTTTTTTTTTCTAATCTGACAGGTTTACCCATCATCAGAATACTATCTCCCTCAAGAGGAGTTTAATTCTTTCTAGCAGGCATGGTATACGGAGAAAGCTAATCAAACAGCTTGGGGAGCACAAGCGGGTCTATCAGTGCAATATTTGTAGTAAAATTTTTCAGAACAGCAGCAACCTCAGTAGACACATCCGTTCTCATGGTAAGTTTATGCCAAATTGCTAATCTTCACACAATTCAGCATATTGAAGAAAAGAATCTAAGTGACACTAATGTGTTGCTCCTTCTTGTGCTTCTTTTTGATGAATTGTTCTATGTGACCTTTTTGTGGCTGCCACAGGTATTTGGAGAGCACATTTCTGTAAATGTTAAGACATGTCTAAGGTCCAGAGTGTGGGTGGGGAGAGAGAGGAAGATACCCCAATATTTAGAAGGGTTTCCAAATCCTTTTTTCAGTGATCTGTATGCTGTTTGAATTATTTATTTCCATGTTTAAACTGGCAAACCTTTTTTTTTTTTAATGTTGGTTGGATCCTCAGGTGATAAGTTATTTAAATGTGAAGAATGTGCAAAATTGTTTAGCCGAAAAGAAAGCCTAAAGCAGCATGTTTCATATAAGCACAGCAGAAATGAGGTGAGTGGAAAACAATTATAAAGGTAAATGGCTCTGAAATGATTATTGGGAGAAAAAAAAAGATTTATATGAGAACTTAGTGCTACCAAGGCATTAAAGTTACTAGGTAACATTAAAGGATGAAGCAATTGGGTAGAATAGGAAGGTTGGAAGATAAGATGGAAATAGATTCATATTATTGAATTGAGACCTTTTTTGCTTAAAAGTACTATGTTCTTTGTAGGGTTATTTCATGGGCAGGAGTGAAAATTTCTTTGTTTCCAAGTAAGATTGCATTTGAGAAGAAAATAGAAGGGACGGACAGCTAGGTGGCGCAGTGGATAGAGGACCGATCCTGGAGTCAGGATGACCTGAGTTCAGATTTGGCCTCAGACCAGACACTTGACCCTTACTAGCTGTGTGACCCTGGGCAAGTCACTTAAACCCGATTGCCTTACCAAAAAGCAAAAAAAAAGGGGAAAAATGGAAGAAGTAACGTCATTTAAAAAGGAAAAATTGGAATACAAAAGTAGTTGATGTTTGTTTCAAAGATGTATTAATTGCAATTAAACAAATATTTGAATGTGTATTATATGCCAGACACTGTATTAGTCACTCTATAGCAGTGGATTCAAACTCAAATAGAAACTGGGTCGTGAGTTTGACACCTCTACTCTAGAGGATATAAAATTAATTAGAAATGATCCCTGTCTTTTATTAATAGCAATTAGCATTTAAGTAATTATAATTAAAAATAATATATGAAATCTTAGTGCTATCATATAATATGGGAGCTTAGTGCTATGGGAACTCTTCATTGAAGAAATGACATTAAGCTTCATAGAGGAGTGATTAAGGAGTTGAGAGGAAAAGGTATATCAGGTAGAGGAAATAGTGTAAGAAAAAATACAGATACTGCAAAGTATGTTAAAGAAGTGATGATTAGTACAGTTTAGTTGAAATATAAGATATATTAAGGGGAGTATTGGATGATATAGTTGGAAAAGTAAGTTAAGGCCAAATTAGTTGAATAGCTATGTTGAGCGAAATAGACACTTACACGGAGATTTGCTTTTGAAAAGTGTGAACAAATGTTAATTCTCCATTTTTATTTTGGTTTTTCTTCGTTTCGCTGAATATGTTTTCTATTTGAAAATAGATTGATAGTGAATACAGATACAGGTGTGGAACTTGTGAGAAGTCCTTTCGAATAGAGAGTGCACTGGAATTTCACAATTGTAGAACAGGTAAGAACAACTTTATTCAGTGGTATACAAATTAACTGGCAAAAATTGAAATAAACTTACATAATAAACCTTACAACTTTTCACATCTATAATTTTTTTTTAATAAGTAATATATCTTTTTACTATAATCACTTATTTTACATGATTTCACATGGATTCACAATATCTTGACGTTTATTGTTTAATTTTTCATTATGAAGCCACACTTTTATTACATTGGATATTAAATGTATCTTTGGACAATCTGTTTTTCGAAGTCTACTCTTGATTAAAATTTCCAGGTCACTGAAACATGTTTATCTCAATCTCTTGGATAAATTTCTTAACTTTTCATAATATGGAGCATGGTGCAAAGACATATTGTAGTATTCCAGCTCCAACTGGAAATTTCTGTATTTCTTAGGTATGATGGATCTAATTAAAACAGATCTAATTAGAAATATAATTGGGCTTTTAGACAAGCCTTGCCCTTGACACATATCAGCCACATGACCCTGGGCGAATCATGCAAAACTCTCAGTTCCCTAAGTGGTTTCTAAGACTATAAATTGAAGAGTGCTTGCTAATCTTTACTGGTAGAAAAGTCCCACATTGGGAGTTCCTCATATAATTAAATTACAGCTCTATTTAAAAACATGCAGACTAACACAACTAGCTATGTGACCCTCCAAAAAGTCATATAACCATTATGAGCTTGAATTTCTTTTCACGTGTGCAAAATGGAACTAAGACGACCTCAAGATTTGCTTCGATATAAGAAGAAGAAATAAATGGCATTTAAATAGTACTTTAAAGTGTTTTAAACACTTTGTATACAATTGAACCTCTAATAACTTTTAAGAAATTATTATCCTCATTCTGCAGCCTAGGAAACTGGGACTCACCCAAATGATTTGCCCATAGTCACACAGCCAGAAAGTGACAAAGGCAGGGGTAGAGTTCAGAGTCTTCCAGACTCCAAGTGATTTGCCCATAGTCATACAGCCAGAAAGTGACAAAGGCAGGGGTAGAGTTCAGAGTCTTCCAGACTCCAAGTACATCACTTTAGCTGATATGTTAAGTATGGAGATCCCATAGTCATAACTTTTTTTTAAATTAAATTTCATTTGTTTCAATTAACAAAAATCTTTTTTTTTTCCTCCATTCTTTCCATTCATTGGGAGAAAAACACCTTATTAGGGAAACCAGAAGCTGGGGGAAAGCTGATCCCTAAGAAAGAGAAATATAATCAATAGAACAAAACTTAAGACATCTATAAAATAGCACCATGCTGGTAGTCATGAAGTCAGAATAAGACTTGAAACTTTCAGACTTTCTCACTGATTGATAACTCAGGATGTACAGAAAGTGGGTGATCTTAAAAGAGATCTAGGAAAGGAGGAAGAAAAGAAGGACAATCACTCAGAATCACTTTAATCTACAAAACAAAGGTCTTATAGATGTAATTGAATGGAGAAACTGGGATTAGAGAACCTTCCTGTCTTTTCCTGAAGATTGTTCCTTCATTCATTCCTTCTCTCTAATCTTCAATTTCTCCCTACCTACTTGTTAATTTCCTGCTTCTTACAGACATGCTCATGTTAAACCCATCTTTTAAAAGAAAATTCTCTAGACCTGCTATTCCCTTAAACTATCATCCTTTTCTCTTCTCCCTTTCTCAGCTGAAATCCTAGGGAAAAAAAATCTGTCTATACTCCTTGCTTCCACTTTTCTCTCATTCTTCAGCCCTTTGCAACCAGGCTTCTGACTTCATGAGTCAACTCAAACTGCTCTCTCCAAAGTTACCAAATGCCAAATCTTATGATGACACTGGTGACCATTCTCTAGTCCTGGATATTCTCTCTTATTTATGTTTCTGTAACTCCATTCTCTGCCAGTTCTCCAGTGTGTCAAGCTATTCATTTCAAGTCTCCAGTATCATTTGCTGGTCATCCTCTATGTCACACTCACCAACTATAGATGTACTCAAAGGTTTGTTTTTTGACCCTCTTCTCTCATACAGCTTTAATCACCACGATGCTTATAGTTCCCAGACAATCAAAGCCCAGTCCCTCTCTTGAGCTTCAGTTCTACCTCATCAGCTGCCTACTAGAAATTTTAAAGTGGATATTCTATAGAATCTCACACGTAACATGTCCAAAACAGAACTCATTATCTTTCACCCCAAACCCATCCATCTTCAGAACTAACCTATTTCTGTTCAGGACACCATCATTCTTCTAGTGTTTATTTGTTTGTTTGTTTGTTTTTTCCCAAACTTCACAGAACAAATCCCCTTAATAAAAGGATTTGTTCTGTAAAACTTAGACTCAGTCAGAAGGCGGCACCCAAGGATCTAGAAGGCCACATGTGGTCTCAAGGCTTCAGGTTCCCCACTCCTAAAAACAGATGCCAAATATTATAGTTTTTGTCTCTGAAACATCTTTTGCCGTCTGTTCTCTTCTCACTATTCATACAGTCATTAACCTAGTTCAGGCCCTCATCACCTCTATCACAACGGTTGTTTTTTTTTAAAACTGGTCTGCTTGACTATCCCACGTCAATCCAATCCATTCTCTGTACACCTACCAAAGTGTTTTTCCTTAATTGTAGGTCTGATTATTTTACTTTCCTACTCATTAAGCTCCCTGTTGTTTCCAGCTAAGGCGTTAAACATACATACCTTTGCTTGTGGCCCACAACCAGATTAAAATATAATGGGGAAATTTTTTTTTTTAGGCAATTTTTAGGCAGTGTTTTTAGTTTTCAACAACTTGCCCAGGATCATACAGCTAGTAAGTGTCAAGTGTTTGATCTGAGGTCAGATTTGAACTCAGGTCCTCCTGACTTCAGGGCCAGTGCTCTATCCACTGCACAACTTAACTGCCCCGGAAATATTTTTTAAAAGAAAATAAAACATAGCTAATATTAAAACTAAGTTAACATGGCCTGCAAGGATCGTTATGTATGATGTAATGGCCCTCATTTCCATTTTAGTTTGAAACCACTTGTTTCCAGGATCAAAAATACTCTAGTATAGCCTTTCACAGTATGCCCCAATCTACCATTCCTGCCTCATTAGTCCTTCCTTTACTCGTTGGTCTCCATAAACTGGCTTTCTTGTTGTTTCTTTCATACGACACTCAATCTTCCATCTTCATGCCTACTTAAGATTTTTATTTATCATGAGATCTTATTAATGTAAAAAAATTACTTAGCTAAGTGGCACAAGGTTTCATACATTTTTCAGGTTTTCTTACTGTTTACATTTAGTTAATGGGACATATTACGCTCACTGTCAGTAGTTTATCATACTCTGGAATCATATTTGAAATCGATTTCTTTAGAAATATGAAAACTAACCTTAGTACCTGCCTCATTTTCTAAGTTTACTTTCTTGTTTTTTAACCTGCCTCTTTTTTTTTAAATTATTAGTTTATTTTTAGTTTTCAGCAATCACTTCCATACGCTTTTGAGTTTTAAATTTTTCTCCACTTCCTTCCCAGCTCCATGCTTTTTCAGTGGGTATACCCCATGCCTGGAATCCTCTCCCTCCTTACTTCTACTTCTTCAAATTCCTTATTTCCTTCAAAACTCATCTCAAATATTACTTTCTACATAATACCTTTCCTGGTCACTTCCCCCACTGCTATATTCACTCATATCCTATATCCTGAAACTGCATTGTATTTATAATATATAGAGTTGTATATGAATATATATACATTTAATATTATAGAAACTACATTTTTAAAGTAAAAGTTAACTGAATTATAAAAACTATGTAGAGAAAAAATATTGGTAGATTTCAATACCTCATTTTTAGAAATTAGTAAGTCAAATTTTAAAAAAGAGAAAGTTTTGAAATGAACAGAACATGGGAAAAATTATATTTGATAAATACATGGAGGAAATTGATTACATTTACTAGAGAATTTACTTTTTAATCAACTATATGTTGAATATTTACAAAAAATGATCATGTTAATGCATAAAGAATATGCAGAAAAGCAGAAATTTTAAAGATCACTTTTACAGACCATAGCACAATTAGAATAATAATTAGTAACAAAAATATAATCAAAATATGCAGGCCTAAATGCAGACTCAAAATTATTTGCTTGAGAATGATTTGTCAAAAGACAAATTATATAAACATTTAGAATTATATCAAAGATAATACAATACATTAAAAAATTATGGAATTGAATTCAAGCAATTTTTAGTTGGTAAATTTATGTCTCTGTGGCAAGTTTGAGGGAAGAGAGGTAGACATCAATGCTATTTATTATTATTATTTGACTTAGTCCTAGGAGTTGAAGGACTAGTTCTATAACAAAATACTATAGAACTATAGAACTAGCTATGTACAGGCTATTAGGAAAATAAAACATAGGGGAAAAAATACCTGTGAAAATGAGACTGAAATACCTCAATTTCTGGAGAATATTATGTTTTATTTAGAAAGCCTAAAAGAAACAATAAAACCATTAAATCATGTAAACAACTTCTATAGGATAGAAGATACACCCACAAAAATCATCAGCATTTCTATACATCAGTCAAAAATACTTTCAATGTCTTCTGGTCTACTGGCTTCTTTACTGCCTATAAACATGCCCATGTCTCTCCCACCCTTAAAATACTCTTGCTTGAGCCATCCATCCTTGCTAGCTACAGCCAGGTGTTTCTTCTCCTTTTTCTGGCTAAAATTCCTAGAGAAGGCTATTTACAATCAATGATTCTGCTTCTTTTCCTTTCATTCCCCTCTGAACTCTCGCAGTTTGACTTCCAACCTGATCATCCAACTGAAGCTGCCCTCTCCAAAGTTCCCAGTGATCTCTTAGTCCCCAAATCTAGTGACCTTTTTCAGTCTTCATCCTTTTTGACCTTTCTGCAGCCGCTGACACTATAGATTACTGTCTGCTCCTTGATACTCTCTTCTCTCTCTGTTTTCCTGATATTACCCTCTCCTGGTTCTCCTCCTGCATGTCTGACTGTTCCTTCTCAGGCCCTTTTTG